TCTAATTTGTTCGGTACCTCTTTACCAAATTCTCTCGGTACTTCGAGTTCTTCTCCTTCCACTCTCTATTCCTCTTCTTCCCCATTGGATTCTTGTCAAAAATGCTCAAAGTTTGGCGAAAATTTAATCCGTTGTAATTATTGTCAAAAAGTTCAACATGTAGAATGTTGTAGTAAAGATGAAAAATCTTCAATTGATACCGTGAACGATCGTTGGACTTGTGTAGATTGTAAAGATTCTGCTACCGTTAAACGAAAGTATTACCCTGATAAAAGATCTAGTTCCAATGGTCCTTCTTTAACCTTAATTGGAAATTATAAACGCATCAAGACAAATGATAAAAACTCTTTAAAAGACAATTCTTCTCTATATAATATTACTACTCATAATCTTGATAACGGTGGTGTTTTGTCTCCTCAACTTACTCCACAACAATTAAAATCAACAAATGGTGCTTCTCAAAATAATATTGATGATATGACGGATCGTTATGCAATGCCACATACTCCAATGTCTGACGATGATAAAATTACTAGTGATGATAACGATAGTAGCTTTAGTAGTGATTTAGAAATCGACGATGAAAATCATAAAGATGATTTAACACCTGGAACTTTTGATCGAACTCCTCCACCTGATAATGGTCCAGAGGCATCCAGACAACCTGCTCGTTTCGATGGTGACATGTAAGTTTCTCTTAATATTGTAAAATATTATAAAATATTATATGGATTTTTTTTGTATATGATCTATATAAACGAATACAATATAATATATTGTTTGTTAATCGATATAATCGATATTATCGCATGTAATCTTATATAATCGATATTATCGCATATAATCTTATATAACCGCATATAATCGATGTCATCGATATAATTGCATATAATTGCATATAATTAATGTCATCGATATAATTATAATTAATTTATATGTATTCGTATTTATTTAGGTACACTCCACGTTGGGTTCGTGGAGTTGGAAAATCAAAAGAAGGTCTTTGCCCTCATTGTGAACCCGCTCGATGGCTCAAAACAAAGATTTCTGCTTATTGGTATATTTAATTTACTGATTTTTATTAATCATTTATGTATCTATTCATTTATTTTAATCACTTGTACATTTTAGGTATCATTTGAATTATCAACATGGGATCTCTTCAATTACTGGCCGACCATTTTCTCAACCAATTGCTGAACGACTCAATAAGAAATCTGGTATGAAAGAGGCTTTATGCCATAAATGTAATAAATGGATTTTGAATCAATCACCAAGAGATAAAGATGTATTGGTTCCCGAAATTTATTGGTATGATTTCCAAAACTTTTCCCGAATTTATTCATAAAAAAAGTATATGGTAATTTGATTTTAATTATTTGTTATTAGGTACAAACATGCCCAAAAATGTCATCATACACCTTGAATATGCACCCGGAATATTGATTTTGGTCAGAGTAATCTATGACCCTATGATGGTCTAATAGTAAAAGTGAATGAAAATTTTTCACTGCAAATAGTCTTTTTTTTTTTTTTTTTCTATAACCCATTGTTAAAGTTACTTTGGTTTTCTTTCCGGGTTTCACATTCCCATCCTATTTCCGTATTGCCGCAGTATTGTTTGTTTGTCTTGAAACTACTATGTACTATTGGCCAACTATATAGCATGTAATTTGTCTCTTTTTCTCAATTAAATCCATCTTGACAGCGTAAATTGAACAATGAATCAAAAAAATAAAGTTGGTTCTATGTATAGGAATCTGGTAAAAAGTTTACTCCGTAAATACGCATGCCTTTCCATATTCAGTCAAAACTTGTAAATTTTGGGTATCTCCGTTCACGGATAAAATAAGGCAATTTATGAAAAGAAATTTTCTAATTTTTCTTGGCATTCATGTCTTGGGGCGTTTTGTGGTACAGACAATGGTAGTTTTTAATGCCATTCTAAAAGGTTCAATTATACCGCAATCAGAAAAATTTTTGATGATTATTTGTTCACATATGCAAACTATATAAATGGTTAAAATAGTATTCGCTTTAGAATTCGCAAACATTAAAACCATCCTCCAATTTTTTCTTTGCCAAATTTTATCCTAAAAAAATGGTACGAGATCAACAAAAAATTAACTTAAATCCTTCTCTGGAGTCATATAAACCATCTCCGGGTTACTTATTGGGAATTAGGCTTTTTGAAGCTTTATCCAGTCTAGCAATCGTAATTACACTTGCTATTACCACAGCTTATCATAAGATACTATTTGATTATGGAATTAATTACGATTCATCTAGATTCAGACAAGGTTCTTTAAGGGCAACAAATGGTACCGACGTTGAATTAAACGTGCAGGATGGCGCTGCGGATTATGATAATTATGATGGGGTCATGCCATGGTTAATTTTTGGATTGGTACTTTCAGTGATAGGTTTTGTAATTTCTACAGGCTTTATGTTTGACCGTGGGCTTAAACTCGCATTAGTACAAGCATTGACTTCAATTATTTTATGTGCGGGTTTTGTGGTTTACATTGTAATTGGAGCTTTAAACACTCCATATTGGATAGACTGTACTAAAATAAGCTATCCATCTGATTTTTATGCGTCCAAAGATATTACTACTGCAATGACCAACAGATGCGCTGCTCCAAAAGCTGCTGAATTTTTTGCCTTTGTTGCAGCTTTTGCTTATTGTTTTAGTGCTTCTGCTGCGTCAAAAGTTTTTCTTGACAGTAAATTTGCTTCAGAAGTTAAAACTAGGGATATTGAAGAATCATAAATTTTTTAATTTATTTTACATGTAAAATTCTTTTTTAAGACTGGGAAATATGTACCGTATTGTCGCGAAATAACGCGCAGGGGTGAAATTACGAATTTCGGCCTAAATTAAGCTTAATTCGGGCCATTATTCTAAATAACGCCCATGCCCGTTATTTCGCGACAATACGGTATTATTCAGCAATTGTATAATAAACCCTAATTTTAAATTTTACTTTTCAACACGTGATTAATACGCCGATTTTTTTTTGATATAATGATTTTCAATAATCAAACTTTTTTTTTTCCTCCCCCTTCTCTTTTGGTAAATAGACAAGAAAGCTTGTTTTACCATGGTATGCTTTTTGCCTTGAGCTTTTAAGAGCACGTTAAAAAAAAACCTACAAAGCTGTTTATTCAAGAAATAATGAAATAAATTGCCTTGTTTACATTTGAAAAAAAATTATTAATTGATTGTCACCTACTCTTACTGATCAAAAATTTTTGAAAAAAGCCCTCTCATAAAACATTCAGGATCAAGCGTGTCCTTGGAAAGAAACAAAAACAGAATCGTCCTATTCCTCAATGGATCCGTCTTCGTACTGGAAATACGATTAGGTGCGTTTTTAAAAAAAATGGATTATGCGTTCTACTAAGGATTGATTAGTAGTTTTAAATCATTGATTAAATACCCAGATACAATGCTAAACGTCGTCATTGGCGTCGTACCAAGCTCAACATTTAAACTTCCACAGCTGTAGCTATAAATTTCTTGTGATAATCAATTTAGAGTAGCGTTGAGACTCAACTCTTTTCTTTTAAATTATGAGATTACTACGTAATTGGGTATGGAAAGTTTGGAAATCGTAATTTCTACTTCACTTGAAATAAACAAAATCTAAATAATGCCCATTCTCGGACAATAGTATTCAAAGACCAATCAAGTTTATTAAACTAGACGTTATAAATTATTAACCCTTTTATTTGCAAAGAGTTTAAGAGGGATTTTAACGAACAAGTAGATACAGTCGCACTCCCATATAATCAAAAAGTACTCTTATTATAGAAATGTGCTTATATAAGGAACTATTTCACATATTTAATAGTGTTCATATGGGTGATTATATAGGAGGTGCTTATATGCGAGTGTGACCGTATATCGAATAAAATAATAGAAGTTTTTAACATCCAAAGTGTAATTTGAACCTTAAACCTTTAGATCAAATTATCTTTAAAATTCGAATAGATTGAGTCTATTGATTTTTAGAAAGCAAACCTTTTAATAAAAGTCGATCTCTCATTGTCGTATAGTTTTTTCATCGTTGATTACTTTGAAATTGTTAATTGTTGACTAGAGTTAGTTCCCATAGTGTCATTTATTTTTTAGAAATTTTTTATAAACAATTTTTATTTGAACACTATTTAGGTGTAAATACTTAATTACCAGGCATAGAACATCTCCTCTAGAGTGTTGTATATAATAAAAACTAGGAAAACGGGGTTCGTTGAGTTCGGAGCATTGCCTCACTCTGAAAAACGTATCAACTAATGTGTTAATGGGAAAAGGCGCTATATTAACAATACTATATTGTAAAACGATCTATACCATCAGCGAGTGTGAAATTGAAGAAACTAAATAGTGTACTGTTTAGTTTACAAATGACAATTAATTTAAAGGTTATATCATATACATAAAAAGTTAAAGAACGGCATAGGTTGCCAAGTGGCAATAGATAATGATATAATTGACTAAATAATTTGGAATTTTTTGTTTTCCACTTTATTCTATTCTTCTTAAAACCTACCTGATACTATGTTACATCCTGAATTCTATTCCTGGTAGAAGTATTTTGTTGTTGATATAAATCATATACATAAGTAAACCTTTGTTTTTTCCTGAGTTCTCTAAGCATTGTCTGTACTTATTCTTGATAATTCTTTTTATTTGTTATTTTTTTGGTTTTTTTTGAAGATTCAAACTTTTAGTAAGATTATTTTTTCTTTTCTTGATATATTTTTATTGTTTGTTTTAAATATAATATTTTGATTAGCTTTACTCTTGTATTGTAGATATAATATCAAAGCTCCGACTTGCTATTAATTTTTATATTATTTATTTTTTAAAATTTTTTTACAATTTTGAATATTTTTTGCAAGTTTTTTTTAAGCTAATAATATACTATATATTATATTATCTGTATATATAGTATATATATATATATTTTTTTTTTACAATATTAACAGCCTTGCTGGTATTTTTATTAGATCAAAGCAAATATATAAGTATATCTCAAACTATTTAAGTTTTTTTTTTTTTTTTTTTTTTTTTTTTTAAAGAGTGAGACCTGATCTCAGTTTTTTATTGATAACGTTTTGTATTATTACAATTTAATATCAAGATATTTTTATATATTTTGAAATTAAGCTATCTAAAAA